GTCAGAAAGAGTGATAGAAGTCAGAAAGAGTGATAGAAGTCAGAAAGAGTGATAGAAGTCAGAAAGAGTGATAGAAGTCTGTCTCCAAACACAAGCAGCTACAGAAAACCCACCAGAAATAGAAGCTCTATTTGTCACTAGTCGTTTTTAACAAAAAATGCTGCTGAAAGGATTAATAAAGTCTCTGGTTCAGCTCAGAACAGAATGAAACTAAAAATGCTCCCACGGACGTTTACACCAAAAGATCACCGATTCACTCATTTCACTGTCAATGAAAAACTGATTCAGCCTCCGACAGATCATCCAATCATCATGCAGAAGCTGAGCCAGTCCACAGCCCCATAGAACCCTAGAGACGCTCAGGGTCCGATGGGCGGGACAAAGCCCAGCATTTATCCAATGACTCGTCTTATTTTACTGCAGTCTTTGCATCACTAATGAGCTCTGCAGACGCTCAGAGTCCAGCTGTGAAGCTGCAGGAATGAGTGAAATGAGGAAAGCTGCGTCGTTACTGTGATAAGAAGCTGATTCTGAACAAAAGTTGAGCGTGTTGTTGAGCATATTTAGTCAATGACATGAACACACAACAGTATATATTTTATCTTTTTTTTGACATTTTAGGGGAAGCTGATCTTCCCTTGCAGTCTTAAGCTGGAAACAAACTCCCTCCGAACTGCCGATGTCGGCAAGGGTTGTCGCAATTTCATGATGAAAACTACATCACCGGTGTTCGCAGCGTCAGCTTGTTTTGGCACAACCTGCCGGCAGAGCTTTTCACCCCCCTCCTGCGATGACGGTAACGTGTGATTGGTCTGAAGTTTGTGGGTGTGTTTGTTTGTGCTGACAGTGCTTGGATACTTGGCTTAAAAGAAAAAAAATAATAAAACGACTCGCTCCCAGAGCCGACACCAGGAAGTAGAGTTTTATAAAAATAGTCAAACGGTGAAAAACTCATGAATGAAGATGAAACAGGTGTTGTGCACGGAGGAATCTGACTGATAAAAACTGTGGAGCTTTAATCAGGACAGATGTGGATAAATACGTCAGGTGAGTGACGAGTCTGACTTTTATTTTCTGCATCGTCAGCTGTTGTGTGAAGAAACTCAGTGAGGTATGCTGCAGTGGGAGGAGTTTCCCAGCAGCTCAGCGCGGGGTGTCTCTGTGAGAAAATGACTGCTGAACCACCGAGACCGCGCGTCGACCCGTCAGCGTCGGAGCGACTATGTTTCAGGCTTCTCTGTTTCAGACTCACACACTCTGTGCAGTTCTGGTTCTGGTTGTTGTAGAAGTTGCATGTCCCGTCTTTGCAGCAGAAGGTCTGCAGCTGGGTCCACAGCTGGCTCCCCAGCAGGCCATGGTAGTAGGCGAAGAACACCAGAGAATTATCGTTCAGTTCATAACTGGCCATCCCGTTTCCCACAGCAACACCCTGCAGAGCACCATGAGTTAGGCTTAGAGGGACCACTGGGAGGGTTTACTGCAGCAGGACCAGAACAGACCTGCAGGTTCAGGCTGGGGTCCTCCATCACTCTCTCTGCAAGTGTTGGGATGTAGATCCCTCCGTAACTTTCTCCGGTCAGAAAAAGCTCGTTGCTGCTGAACTCTGGGAACAGGCGGAAGAACTCCTTCAGAGCCAGGTAGTTGTTCATGGACACCTGCGAGACAGAGGACACGTGAGACACCTGAATCACCTGAGAGCCAATCAGAAGCAGAGCTGGTACAAGGTGGCTGACCTCTGTGTCGTTGGTCTTGTAGTTCTTATCATCAGAGTAGGAGAAGCCGACACCTGCTGGAGACTCCAGGTACAACATGTTGGCAATCTGCAGGGGCAATTAACCAATCAGCTTCTAGGACTTAACCAACCAAAAGACCCACCTCCAGTCACATGACCCACCTTGTTCCAAGAATACGGGTTGTACTGCAGGGTCACACCATCATCCTGGACCTAAACACAGGTCAAAGGTCAGAGGTCAGAGGTCAACACACCAACTGTGTCACATTTATGCAGGTGGGCCAACTCCACAGTTAGCTACCAGGAAGGGTCCGTGTTCTGTCAGCAGTCCGTCCAACGAGCTGCAGCCGGGACCACCATTCAGCCACAGGACCACTGGATCAGAGGCTGGCTTGTTCTGAGACTCCACAAACCTGAAAACCAAACCAGAACCGGGTCAGGTGAGGCTCACCTCACAGCTGGCTTTAGGTGTGTGACGGTACGGACCAGTAGTGAAGGTGTTTTCCATCAGCTACGTCCAGGTGTCCAGAGAAGTGCCTGAAGCTGGGCTGCTTCTGCAGGCCGGGCAGGAAGGTGACCTCATCTGCAGCTGGAGCTGCTGCACACTCACACAGAAGCACCAGGAGGACACACAACAACACCTGCATCTGAGGGACACACAACAACACCTGCATCTGTGGGACACACAACAACACCTGCATCTGAGGGAAACACAACAACACCTGCATCTGAGGGACACACAACAACACCTGCATCTGAGGGACACACAACAACACCTGCATCTGAGGAAAACACAACAACACCTGCATCTGAGGGACACACAACAACACCTGCATCTGAGGGAAACACCACCTGCATCTGAGGAAAACACAACAACACCTGCATCTGAGGAAAACACAACAACACCTGCATCTGAGGGACACACAACAACACCTGCATCTGAGGGACACACAACACCACCTGCATCTGAGGAAAACACAACAACACCTGCATCTGAGGGAAACACAACAACACCTGCATCTGAGGGACACACAACACCACCTGCATCTGAGGAAAACACAACAACACCTGCATCTGAGGGACAC